GTGAAACCTGCATTAAGCGGACACCCTCTATTAAGCGGACAGTAGCCAAAGTCCCCAAATTTATTTCCTTTATTTACTTTAAATGAAACTTTTATTAAGCAGACACCTCTATTAAGCGGACGCGGACACCTAAAAAGTACCTGAAATGGTCATTTCTATTGTTGCCAACCTGTATTAAACAGACACTTGTAATTAAATTCTGCCACCCAACATGCCAGACACCGGAAATGTGAAAGATTGCCTTGAATTGCCACCACAATTTTTTCGATTTTTACATTACGAAACGTGACTTGACAAGCTTATTTGATTAGTTTCACAGTACAGGATTGTTTTCTATTTCGTTTTGTTTGTATAAAGCTTGTTTCACTCATCTGATTTCTTCAAATTTGAGTTGAAATCCATGTTTATGGTACTATGATAAATTGGTTCACTTTGATAAAGAAATTAATGCAAAACGTCTATCGTGATAGTCTCTGGGAGTATTATAAACACTTCCTCTGTTTATGTGAATGGCATTTGACTCCTCATATGACATTATATATCGAAACCTGTATTAGGAGGACACCCTGTATTAAGCGGACACTACAGCATTCCCCGAGGATGTCCACTTAATACAGGTTTCACTGTACTGTTTCAAAAATTCTCTTTTAAGCAACCACAGCTCGAATTTCTTAAGCAACCATGACCACTTTTTAGGCCAGAATTCTTTTGTTTTCTGTTTCTGGTAAGCAACCAGCCAGCATGATTACATATGATTGTAAGAAAATCATGGCTCAAATGTCACAGAGTTCAGTTTTTAATGGCGCTGAGCCGGAGTGCTGACAGATCAGAACAGTTTACTTTAGACCTACAGATACACAAAAATTGTTACAGTGATCTGTTGCAAAATGCTATGTATAAAGTTTCAACAGTATCATAAGATTCTCCAAGCGCTATTCGAAGTGAAAAATACCAGTGCTTTCCATCTTTTCCCTAAGCCATGGAATAGAAATGTCATTGTCTCCGTAGAAAATGTAACTGCAGGGAATTTCTAGTCCATAACCTGCTCCTCGATCTACACACTTTCCTGGCCTTTCCATTATTTGGTCCTTTGTTTAAGAAATTTGCGAACATACTGAGACACTTGTAATACTATGTGGCCAACATCCTCTTTGGATACGGTATTGGGATGTTTGGCTTCAGTAATTAAATTTCTTGACAAAGGCCTCACTACTGCAACAGCATTTCCATCTTTTTCGTTCAGAGGCTCACGCTTAAGAGTACGTTGCTTACCGATGTGGGGAACCCATATGGATGTTGTTTCATCCTTGTAGACATGATAGCCTCGAATGAATGAATAGACTGTGATGCTTGAAAAATTGCTGTTATCCATTTTGACCGCAAAAATCTTTCCTGAAGACCCAGAGGTGAGCAAAGATTTCACACATGTCCAATACTCTCAACCAGATTCCAGTGGACAAAACCTGGAGTCCGACGGAGTCTAGTCGAAAAATGAAACCGGAAGTACAGTAGAGACCACTTGAGTTACCGGAAGTTTAGTCATAAGATGAAACCGGAAGTGTAAACAATACTTAGATGAGGGTTGGAAAGTCGTCCGATGGAGTCCATCGGATCCATCGGAAACACACACAAGCGCACACTGCACGTGTAACATAACTCGTTCTTTAAGCCCTAAGTCGAGACTGGCAATTCTAACAGGCAACAGAACTCGCTCTTAAAGCCATGAGTCGAAACAAGCACGGTACACATAAGTCGTTCTTAAAGCGATAAGTCAAAACAAGCACGCTACACAAAAAAACATAACTCGTTCTTAAAGCAATGAGCCGTAACGAGCACGCTACGCGAATGGCATAACTCGTTCTTAAAGCCACGAGTCGAAACAAGCACGGTACCCACGTAACATAACTCGTTTTTTAAACCCTAAGTCCCCCGGGCACTTTTTTCGAGACGGAATGGCACGCTTAAAGCCACGAGTCGAAACAAGCACGGTAAAGCTATGAAACGGGCAAAAGCCCTGCGAAACAAGGACAGGACAAAAGTGTATCTGGTGTATGCTTCGTTCTTTAATCCAGGAAACGAGACAAAGCGCAGCAAAACAAGAACGTCCAAATTATATGCCTCGTTTTTTGAACCATGAATCGGAACAAGAGCCTAGCAAATGGGTGTATACGCCTTCCTCTATGAGCTATGAAGGGAACAACAGAGCTAAGAGAGAACTGGCCCCTACTCGCACGGGACGAGAACACGCTGCACGCGAAACAAAGACCACCAAAGTAAACTCGATCATGTTGCTGCATATTCGATCCTGAAACATCATAATCTTAATCATCATGATGATTACTATAGGACTATTAGTAAAATCATCTCTGGAATCTTAACTATGGCTTACAGTGCTGTTAATCATAACTATGATTCCAAAACGACCATTAAAATCATCTCTGGAATCACAACCATGATTTATAATTCTATTAATCATAGCTATGATTCCAAAAGGACTAATAAAATCATCTCTGGAATCATAACCGTGCTTCAATGATCACTTCACAGGTGGCCCTTGCAGGCTCAGCACTTTAGCACCCACTAATAAAACATAACCCATTATGACAACATGAATAATTATAATATACACTGGTCTGAATGTGGGTCACTTCCAAAGGACCGTGATTCTTCTGAATGATGTCCATTAATAATATCGTTCACTGCATATTATTCTAAGCATGTTGTCACAGTGGATTGTGTTTCTTAAGCGAGCACTTTAGTACTGAGCCTGCATGGGCCACAAGTAAAGTGATTTATTAATTAAGGTACCTCCAAATTCTTTTTGTATTTGTCACTTTATAGTAAAAGATAGTGTTACAACTAATAACAATGTTACATACAGGCCATACATGTATTTCAGTCAGCTGAGCAGCCAGGATAGTGGTTCAATGAAAATTAGGCTTACAAGAGCGCACTACTTCATCTAACCCAACATTTTGTAAGAATTTGCTGAATTTGCTTGAGAAATTAACTCTCTGTTCATTAGTACCAGAAATTTTATTAACATACCACAAACAAAGTTATATAACACTTGGAGGCCAACAATCAGACTCCTTTTCAGTATACCAACAAACCTGATTTGAGTTAGCAAATACTCAACATCACTGGTTTGCATTTCTCACTTTTTCGTGGGAACAAATTCTCCTAGTACATTATACTTAAGTACCGTTGTAATCAAACTCATCTTTAACATAATGAAATGTAACCTTGTGATCAAGTATACGTACAATTCTATATTTTACAGTTCACTTGGCCTCCTACTGAATTTATGCTAATATTACAAAATGTATCCATAGCCATATTTGAGATGTTTTTAAAACATCACTGTATCTAATGGTAACTATAATATGAGCTACACTTGAGTAGAATTATTAAAAGAAACATACTGGTAGGCATAACATTGAAACTGACATTACTTAAAAACATTAAGTGATAAGAAGCTATATAAAACATTATATAAATCAGTGCTGGCCACTTTACACATCAACCAGCTGTAGACAGAAATTGAAGTTGGATGATTCCAGATCTGTTCCATAAGGGCCCAATCCAGAAAAAAATGAAAGAAATATGCTTTTTATCATATTTTTATAAACGCCAATGAAATACTGGGCGAGCTTGTGTTCGAAAACATGATATCTTCACATGTCAAAATGACAAGTAAGTTATCTTTGCATGTGAAAAGATCACTCTTGCTAAGGTACACAACAAATCACACCTTTTTCCGGAAAAAAAATTATTTAATAAGTGAAATGGTTAAGTATTTCAGTGGTATAAAATAAATGGAACATATTGCATGGCCACTTGGAGATATGACATTTCTCTTCTCATGTTGAAACAATATTTCAGTGCTTTCAGCAAGGCTTACCCTTCCTTCTCTGTTGGACTTCTATTAATTATACCTTTGTTGAGAAAAGTATGGACAAAAGTTTTTCATGTAAAATCATGCATGCCCAACCCTATTCTGCACCCCACAGGAAATATGTTGGATATATGCATGCAGTTTCAATATGTAAAGGGTGTGGGGAAACAGTGATAGATTTAGTACAGGATATTTTTCAAAGGGTAGCACCTGGCTATGAGCCAGGGCACAAAGAAATTACAAATAAATTACAAATACTCAATCATTGTTCCAAAGACTCTCAATGCAGGATTGTAGCTTTTATGCTGAATATTAGACAGTGGTATTACATCTTAAGAAGAGACAGTAAATTCCTTTTAGCTTGTGTTTTGCTTTCCCCCAGTGTGAATGAGGAGGTGTTCTCACAACAATTTATCCATCATAACCTTAAAATTTATAGGTCTTGTGTCCAAAAATTATTGATGTCACTAATTATACACAATTTTAAAGAAAGTATTCTCTGGAGCACTATCACATGGCTAGGCTTGATTTCCATGCCCTAAATGTTGTCACACATGACCTACATTGGGGAAACATAGCATCTGCAGTAACAACCACAAGCTAGTAAAGGTCTTTACTATTACTTCTCCTCTCATAATTGTACTTAACAAAAAATTTTCTTTGCCATTGTATCATGCACTGTATTTTATTAGCTTTATAGCCTCTGCACTGCTTTCATCCCATTCTCCCCTGAATTGTGCAATTGCCCATGTGGATCAATGCCCTTGTCAAGGACAACTTTCTCATCTAAATTGTGCAAAGGGAAGAGTGAGCACAAATATTCAGTACAGGGGGCCAGAGGAAAAGACAAAAAAACCATGTAACATTGATTTGAAAATTGCAAAAATAATTATGTTCCACTTAACCAGTCACTTCCTTCTATCCTACTATTTAGCTCTTAAGATTTAGCTCTTAACATTATTAATATTAAGCCAGCGAGTGACTAGAAAATGAAGCCACTAGCTTCAAAACAAGTTTTTCAGCAAAATTCCCAGGAGGGGATGGGATAAAAAACAAAACAAAAACAACAAAACAACAACGAGCTGAACTAAAAGGATAAGTATTACAAAGGGGACTCAGGAATGAAAAAAGGTTTATCAGACTGCTTTGAAGGGGCTGGTCTCACTTGTCCATTTTCATCAGCCAGCTCTAGGAACTCCTGCACCTGGAGCTGACAGATGCCTGGCCTTTCCAAAGCTTCCAGCAAGGCCCGTCCCTTTGCCCTTCTTTCACCTGTCACCATCTGTGCCTTTTTTAGGAATAGCCGCCTTCTGCAAATAACACCTGACTTGTTATCTTCATTGTCAGAATTGAGAGGTGGGATAACAGCTTTAGTAGGTAGAGGGGAGATTTCTGATCTTTTTTTGAGATATCCTCCTTGTTCCTTATGTCATTGGGGGAACCAGACCTGATAGGTTTCTTCACTTCGTCATCTCTCTTTACCTATGAAAGATTGCAAGAAAAAGGTATGACAGAGAAAACAAAATTCAATAAGGTGGCTTGACTGGATATTTTAAGGGGGATACTTTCCAAGTTTAAGCATTAACTACATCAGCATGAATAAAGATATGGGAAAAAGGCTACCACAACATTACTGTATTATATAAACATGAAAATTTCTTATTATCTGGCTTTTATTGCAAATAGAGTCGCTGTGGCAACCTAATGACGCCATTATGTTTTTTATTTATTTTCGTGTCTCTCTGTACCAGGAGCAGGGGCAGATCCAGGGTTTTTTTTTAGGAGGGAGTGCACTCGTCTCTTGCTCTACTTCAACACCAATAAACCACATAGTTTTTTTTTTTTTTGCAGAATACCAGTCGTATTAGAAAACCGCAGGTCATCTCAGGGGGGGTGCGCACCTCCTGCACCCCCCCCCTAGATCCGCCCCTGAGGAGTGTTTTTAGAAATGGCTTAAGGGAGTATGTACCTGCTATAATTGCTTCAATTATGGCAAAGTTTGAACAAATTCTGTAAGAGCATTTTGGAAATATTTTGAAACAAGTTTTTAGAATCATAGAAACAGTGAAATAACATGCTATATATCCACACAATTAGCTAATATGTTAAGAAAATGTTAAGCTTTTGAAACACGGCTTCATCTCATAATGATTTGATTCCACTGGAAACTGTGTACAAAAAAAAAAGAGGGGAATCGCTCAGGGCAATCATGAGTGAGAAGAATTTTATTAACCTGCATTCGGCTGCTTTTGTTACAGTTTTTGCACATAATTTGGTCCATGCCTACAAATTTCGCATTATTCAAAACACCACTTGATAATTTTTTTCATTAACTTGCCAATCTCAACATCAATCGTTAATAAATATACCCTGCAAGTTTCAAGAACATTGAAAACAGTGAAGGCTTTTAAAAAGGGCCTCCAATATAACCAGGGTTGTCAGAAAGTTTTGAAGTAGACGGCTGAGTTGTCAAAGTAAGCAGCCAGTCCAGCAATATTTTATTTACAAAACGTCATCCACAAAGAAATGACCAAGCCGAGTAGCCGGCTGTTACTAATCAAGTAGGCGGCACTTTTCACCGGCAGCCGGCTACTTTTGACAACCGTGTATAACCAAATTTTCCCTGAGTGAGCATCCTCATTACTCAGTGGCATTGTTTTCAAGTTTCATATGCACATGTACAATTAGCAAAAGAAATAAATTTCCATTTAAAAGAACTCTAAATTACTTTCCAAAGAAATATCTGGAAAATGCTAATAATTGCCTTGTGTCAAGGATAGCAGTGAGAGTCAAAACGGTGAACATCACGGCTCATCATGTAGGATGTAATAATCAATTATCTTACTCGGGTTATACCATCACAGCAACTTTTAGAAGGAGTTGCTGTGATTTATTAGCTAATTGTCTGGATAGCATGCTATTTCACTGCTTTAATGATTCTTAAAATTTTGTTTGAAAATACACTGTATTTCCAAAATGCCTTAATTGAAGCAATTATGCCTTAATTGAAGCAATTATGGCAGGTACATAATCTCTTAAGCAATTTCTTAAAAACACCCTGGTACAGAGAAACACAAAGATAAATAAAAAATGTAATGGTGTTGTTACATTGCCATGGTGACTCTGATTGCAATAAAACCCAGATCATAAGAATTTTTCATCTTGATATAATACCGTTGGGGTAGCCTTTTTCCCATGGATATCTTTACTCATGCTGACATAGTTAATGCTCAAACTTGGGAGGTATCCCCCCTAAATCCAGTCAAGCCACCTTAATTCTGGCTCTGTTCAACAAACTCTTAAAATAAAATATTAAACAATTCCAAAGTCAACAGTTACATGTATTACAGTAACTCACTGTAACTATTTTCTTTCTCTCTTTTTCTCTTGAGGGCATGACAAGTCATAAGAGGCCCAGTAGAGGTTAAATATCTGACATAAAGAGGACATAGCTTGATCAACTTGTTTTGGCTTAAATGTGTTTTCTAAAATAACATAGAAGAATTCCTCACATCAGAGGTTTCCAAAGCGTTTCTTTTTCTATCTGCTTTTACTCACTGCCATAAGAGTTTCTGAGTTGCAAAACACACCCTAATACCAGACTCAATTTGATTGGAGGGGGAGGGTGATATTCTGCAGATTAATTAATTTAAAAAGTTTTGTAAGAAAATCTCTCTCTGATCATGAGCAAAAAATATAGTATCAAGGTCATTTCATTCCAACATAATTATTGAAATTTGTTTAACACCTTCTGGTAGTTTATTATTCAAAATCAAGACAAACTTGCAGAAATTATATTCTAGACCTGATGCTATATGTGGTGTATGTGCTGTAGCTAAAATGCATTCTTGTCTTAAATCAGAGCTCTCTTTAGACTAATTTTTCTGTGCTGGAGACTTTCATTCTATTCCTCTAAACTACAATGAACATGTTGTTACTAGTGTTATTGTAATAATAAACTTTTAAGAGTATCCTTTCACTAAAATCTGTTATATTTGATTGTTGCATTGTCAAATAGAAGTCCATGACAGAAAATAGTATTGTGTACATATTTACGTTGCAGAGTGGGTTCTCCCCACTTTGTTCAGGTATAGCAGATAACAAAAAGTAAACACTTCATGGAAAATGGAGTAAGTTTGAGGGCATTTAAGAAAGATCATTATTTTCGATTCAACATATTTTGCTTTTTCGATTGGTTGCCCATGGGAAAATTAAACCTGAGATAAATTTAACCTGAGATCAGGTCCAATTTTAGCGGTTCTCAGAGCATGATCGCAGGTTAGGGAAAATTGGAATTTTAGGTGACATCTTTATTGCCTCTAAAAATATTACATGACCATGGTTATATTTCCACTCAAGGGGTGTAATTTGCAGGTTGCAGGTTGCAGGTCAGAATTTGGTTTACAGATCTTCCCAAACTCTTAAAACAGAACATTACAATGATGTTTTGGTGATATCATATTCTTCACAGGGTCACGCAAAACCGGAAATATCAGATCTCAGTTCTATAAATTGATTCTTTAGTCCCAGGTCTTTCAAGGCAAGAAGGAAGGTTTTAAAATTGTCAGATCAGCTGATCTCATCACTCCTGGCAAAGCTAGCATATATAGTTACAGAAAAGACCGGTTCCTCGTCGCTATCATTGTCTGCCGTACCTACGATAGAAATGGAAATTACACAGCCAAGGTGACCCAATTTATATGTGCACTTGACTAATGCTCAATAAAGTTTTGTATAAGTTTAAAGCAAAAAGAAATTTCATTGAAATCCATGGTGGATGCACGTCGTGCATAGCCAGCACCATTCGTTATTCTTTCTTTTTTTTTAAGTGTAAAGCGACAAGACAAAACAAAAATATATGATCTCAAATTCCAACTGAGCTTGAGAAATTCTGATTTGTAGTACAGCGTGGTACTATGGCCAGAATTGAATTTTAAACTTACCTCTTTGTATAAAGAGGGATGCAAAATCTAACTCCCTCCAAACAATTATTTAAAACCTTACTTCTTGCCTTGAAAGGTCTGGAACTAAAGGATCAATTTACAGAACTGAGATTTGAAATTTCCAGTTTTGCATAACCCTGTCAAAAATATAACATCAACAAAACATCAAGGGCATAGCTAGGAATTTTCAAAGGGGGGATCACACTGTGTCACACCCATAGCACTTTGTAGTTTGGGGTGTGGATTAATTTATGGTGAGTGTTTTTGACGTCTAAAAGTAAGTTGGGCGTATTTCTACCAATAATAATGAGACTGTTGTTGATGATGACTGATCAGTGGAATAGCCAGAGGAGTGTTCCAGGGGTTCTGGAACACCCCTTAGGCTGCAGCACTAGGTATAATTTTAAGAGGAATGAGATTTTAGCTTTTAAAGAAAATGAGAAGAAAAAAAATAAAAAGCATCACATTCTATTTCAAGGGTTACATATGTTGAGGTTTGATCAGTCTTTGCAGTAGTCTTTTTTACTTTGATTCTATTACTGTGAGGAAGATCATACATGGCCCCTGTGTATACAAGCCTGCAATGTGTGATTCAGCACCTTTGTTGGTCTCGATTGCTTTCAATTGCATGTTGTAATGGTTTGACTATGAGACAGCTTAATAGAAACTCGGTAGAGGCATAAAAGTGAAAAGGTAGAATGAAATCAGCCTTTATGTTTGCAAATCAGTCTGAGGAAATTGTCTGAAACTGGAGCACAAACATTAATAGCACAGCAAACTGCCTAAAACATACAGTATTCAGGAATTCATCATATGCCACCCAGGTTACCACGATGCAGTGCCTTTTCCTTACATAAAAGCTACTCAGTATAAGGCTCCGAAAGCAAGACACCGATGTCTATTAGGATACCATCAGCTCTAATTTTCATGTGGTGGCTTTTCTGTAGGCAGTGCAAGTGGCTCAAAGTGGAAAAAGACCTTTCTAGTAGTGCTGCATATTTTAAGTACTACATTACTTAGCCTGCGTAGCAGACGCTTGGAAGTAGTGGGCACAAGAAAGAATGGGTGTGCGAGAAGGAGACACTTGAGGGGTCTTCCTCTCCCCTCGCGTGTCTCCCTCTCGCGCGCCCATGTATACAAGCCTTCAATGTGTGATTTAGCACCTTTGTTGGTCTAGATTGCTTTCAGTTGCATGTTGTAATGGTTTGACTTTGAGAGAGCTTAATAGAAACTCGGTGGAGGCATAAAAGTGAAAAGGTAGAATGAAATCAGCCTTGATGTTTGCAAATCAGTCTGAGGAAATTGTCCGAAACTAGGGCACAAACACTAACAGCATGGCAAACTGCCTAAAACATACAGTATTCAGGAATTCATCATATGCCACCCAGGTTACCACGATGTAGTGCCTTTTCCTTACATAAGAGCTACTCACTATCAGGCTCCGAAAGCAAGACACCGATGTCTATTAGGATACCATCAGCTCTAATTTTCATGTGGTGGCTTTTTTGTTGGCAGTGCAAGTGTTTCAAAGTGGAAAAAGACCTTTCTAGTAGTGCTGCGTATTTCAAGTACTACGTTACTTAGCCTGCATAGCAGGCACCTGGAAGTAGTGAGTGCAAGAAAGAATGGGTGCACGAGAAGGAGACACACGAAGGGTCTTCCTCTTCCCTCGTGTGTCTCCCTCTCGTGCAACCATCCTTTCTTGCGTCCACTACTTCCAAGCACCTGCTACGCAGGCTATACATTATAACAAATTACATCAGGAGAACGTGAGCGACGGCTTAGCCCATTGCACAGACTTAAAAGGTAATTGGCGACGACCATGACTGAATCGAGAGTCTGCTACTCTTACTATGATAAACATTGCATTATGGAGATGGACCCTGAGGCTAACAATGGACACCTTTGCACCGAAGCGTCCATGATGTTTCCTTCTTGCTAATACCCTAACTGAGTAAACAGCAAATCACAGGACTACAGTGTGTGTTTTAATGTATTCAACGATAATGAACATATATGTTGTAGTTACATTTCTATACCCAAAAACGAAAGAACAACAAAAATTACCTGAGATAAAAAATTAACGATCTACAACATAAACACTATCTCTTCACTGGAAGCGAAAAAAAGCTAGCTTCATATGGCACTGTTATTAGAAATTTGTGCTCAGAATCACAAAACAAAATTTCAGACGACCTAAAGTATCAAAACTTTCCAGGAAATCCTCTGAAGATTTATCGTCAATCTAGACAAAAATACCACATTAGGAACCCCTCTATACAAAAATGCTGGCTAAACCCCTGCTGATGTTTCGACAACCTGTGCGATAGTCATCTTCAGAGTCAAATACTTTTTGTATTACTGAATTAGAGTCATGGCAGCAAAAAATTGTACTTTTAGCTTGTAAAGTCCTTGTTATGTAAGCCTTTCCTTTACAAAAGATGTACCTTTACCTTTAAACTCCTCCATCTAAATTGTCAGCCAGACGATGAAAACATAAAAAAATGTAAAATTGACATTTGACATACCCAAGCAAAGGTCAAATTCACAATTTACCACAAAACAGTGTGTCAAATACCTGGGGTGGGGGGCAGGGGGGATGTTGAAATTTTCAATTGATCAGCACATAAGGTTTATGCTTCACTAATATGCTTTTATTATGAAAAGATTCGTCATTTTTAAGGAACTGAGGAGTTCCAAACCATTATTTTCATAAACGAACCTAGACTTGCATAATTATCAGCACTCGGATAAGTAAATGTTAAAAACTACCCTTCAATACCAGCTCTAACACATTATAATAAATTGCCAACTGGTCTACTTGCATGTACCTGCATGCAGTGGTGCGTATAGTAACTGTAAGTACATGCAGATAATAAATAGTGGTATTTTCCTGGCTACTTACTTTTGGATCAAAATCTCAGGCAAAAGACATCTCTTTCTAAGGGATGCCAAAGTCCTTCTGAGGGATTCCATTTGCAACACACCTCCTTCTAAGGATACCAAACTCCTTCTGAAACGTCTCCTTCGGAGGGATGCCAAAATCCTACTGAGAGATTCCATTTACGAGTTTCAAAATAGATAACTCCGTCGATTCTTCTCTCGGACGAATTCCAAATTCGCACCTCAGGTTACTTTTTTGCTTTCTTATGCTCTGATTTAATATCGAAAGATTCCACATTTTCAAGGAACAGTGGAATTTAAGATAATTCCATATGCCTTTTCCTCGCCGTTCGAATTCTTTACTCGTAAATTCTTTTAGAAAGTCAATGATCGAAAGATGCGCCATCTTGGCCATTTTGTCGATCAGGCAACTCTTGTTTCTAGTCCCCCTCGATCGCATCCTTCGAGTTCCTAACAGTTCGCGTTACCTGATCCTCTAGCACGCTCACTTTGTCAAATCTAATTGACTTGTTTCACTTCTCCTGGAGTATAACAACGAACTAACATATCGAAATTTGGGAGCTGGACGAATAGAGAACGCATATCGCTACCGCTATTCGCTACACAGAAATTGT